CATTGATCCAACAAAGGTAAATAGTTGGACACTTTCTAAATCTTCTTTCAACACCTTTCTCTAAGGTATGACATTTTCATTAAGTCTTGTTCATGTTTTCTAAGGGAAAAGTAACATTTCATTAAATTTTTTTCTAGGTTGTAAGAACTGCTTTATTGGATGCTGCAGGGGTGGCCTCTCTGTTAACTACAGCAGAAGTTGTAGTCACAGAAATTCCTAAAGAAGAGAAGGAACCTGGAATGGGTGCAATGGGTGGCATGGGGGGTGGTATGGGAGGTGGCATGTTCTAATTCCTAGAATAGTGCTCTACCATTATTAATGAACTGTGACAGGAAGCTGAAGGCAGTATTCCTTACCAATAACTTCAGAGAAGTCAGTTGGAGAAAATGAAGAAAAGGCTGGCTGATGTTTAAGAAATATCATTATAACCATCAGTTACTGGTTTCAGTTGACAGTATATAATGGTTTACTGCTGTCATTGTCCATGCCTACAGATAATTTATTTTGTATTTTTGAATAAAAAAACATTTGTACATTCCTGATACTGGGTGCAAGAGCCATGTACCAATGTACTGCTTTCAACTTAAGTCACTGAGGCATTTTCACTACTATTCTGTTCAAATCAGGATTGTAGTGCTTGCCATCACCAGATGAGAAGTTAAGAAGCAGCCTTTCTGTGGAGAGTAAGAATAATTGTGTACAAAGTAGAGAAATATCCAATTATGTGACAACCTTTGTGTAATAAAAATTTGTTTAAAGTTAATAATTGTGTTAGCATTTCCATGATCTAGAAGATATGACAAATAAAAGCCAATTGAAGAGGAGGGGGCAGGGGCTGACCTGTGTGTAAAACATTATTCTACCTATATTGTATTTTTATATTTCTCTTTGTTGCAGACTGAATTACATTATTACATTGGTAACTGGGTGAAATTTTTAAAGAAGGCATCACCCTGGTGAAGCCTATGGGAACAATTTTGGGTATGATGACCCCTGGTCATACAGAAAAGGCAACTTGTCATTATGGGAGCCACGGTCATTGCTTTAAACCCTCAGCCTTGTAGAGTGTGCTTCAGTGGAAGAAAGAGAGGTGTACCATTCAAGCATAATGGATAGTGAGAGAGGACATCCATGACTGGACGGGCTTCACCATCATTTTTAAAAACTTAAAGGGAAATAGGTTTCTGGCTCAATGCATTTGATCTTTATTATATAATACAATACAGATTACTTTTTGTTCTTGAGACAATCTTGCTGTTGCCCAGGCTAGAGTACAGTGGTGTCGTCATAGCTCACTACAACTTCAAACCCCTAGGCTGAGGCAATGCTCCGGCCTTAGCCTCCTGAGTAGCTGGGACTACAGGTGTGTGCCGTTATGCCTGGCTAATTTTTGTTTTTTGTAGAGGTCTCACTCTTGCTCGGTGCTGACCTCCATTACTTTTCAAATAGTTACCTGGGTGTGCATGTTGGCAGCATATGCTGATTTGTAAGATGTGAATGTGTTGCTTTCTACATTTTACTAGGTTATAGGTTGAAGGCATAAGATCTTGTAACAGGCTGGGAGATGTGGCTCACACCTATAATCCCAGTACTTTGGGAGGCTGAGGTGGGAGGATCAACCTGAGCCAGGAGTTTCAGGTAGTAGTGAGCGATGATCACTGCACTGCACTCCAGCCTGGGTGACACAGTGAGACTCAAAAAAAATGGTGAATGGGAATGCTATAAAAAATAGTGTATTCACCATTGTTATTACCTGTTATTCTCAAAATCCCACTGAATGGACACTAATGAAATAAATTACAAAAGGAGAGGAGACAACTGCTAAAGAAGGGTATCAATGAGTCTTTAAGAAGTTAGAAAAGTGCTAAGTGACTTAGTAGTTAGGGAAGGTTACACCCTAAGAGCCTGTAGGAACGAATACAAGAAGCAAACTAATTAATTATCCTACAGAACTTTCCAAGTAGGGGGTCAGGTAAGGCCAAGTGTGGGACTGAAAATGAGGGTAAAATTAGCTGAAGGACATTAATGAGATTTTGGTCCTCTAGTTCTCCCCTTTCCTGCACCAGGACTGACTTGCCTGCCCCTAGGAAACTGGAGGTTAATTCTCTGTAGAAATCAAACAGGAAAGACTCTAGGCCTGAGACACCATAGAGAACACAGCTAGAGTAAGACAAAGAGTCAAGGTTAGATCAATGACATTAAGGACTCTCAAAATTAAGCTCTCACTTGCACTTTCTTAGGAGCTACTAGAGGATTTCTTTCAGCATTCTGAGAGTAGAAATAAGATGAAGCCAAAAGGTTTAGGAAATAGGCAACCCCAAAGAGATGAAGGGAAATCCTAGGATAATTGCAGGGGAGCCCTGGGATTATAGCTGCACAACATCGTATAGGGCAACCATTTCAGATTAGAGTAGAAAGGAGTGGCTACAAGTAAATCAATGCCCGACTAAAGTGACTTAAACATTAGAAGTCTGTTATCTCATATGACCAGAAGTGCAAAGTTTGTAACTCTAGTGTTGGTTTATTCACCCTTGATATTAGAATTCTGAGTTGGCTTCTCTGCAGTTACCTTGCCTTTTTCCTCATAGTGACAAGATGGTAGATGTAGCTGTAAACCTCACGTCCTAGATCAAGCAAAAACCAAGGAAGAGAATTCTCTCTTCCAAGTTTCCTTCTACAAAGAGAAAAATCTTACCTAGCAGTCCCATCCCATCAGTCTTCCCTTCAGATTCCACTGGCTGGATGCCACTTTGAAGAAAAGTTTATAAAGTTGGTCAGCGTTTTCCCCCTTTACCATACGGAAAGCACAGAATCCAAATTTTAAGTTCTCAGGTCATGACCTCAACACTGTTGGACTAGATAAAGCAAATATGACAGCATGGATATTGGAGCCAGAATATGTGGGTTTTTATCCAGGTTCCACCATTTACTGTGACCTTGGTAAAGTTACTTAATCTCTCTTTATCTTTCTTTGTATGTAAAATGGGGTAATAATATTGCCTACCTCAAAAAGTTGTTAGGATTAAATGTTTACAAGGCACTTAAAACAGTGCCTGGCACATAGTTCTATGTAAGCATGCAAAATAAAATTTTTTTAAATGCCTAAAAATTTGAGCTTTAAATTTAGGTGGTCAGCCCCATGAAATCCCAGAGATCTACATAATCATGATCTTACCAACTCTTTTTCTTATAGACAAGGGAAGAGAAATAAAAGGAGAGTATCATAAAATCACCCTCAGAAAAACACCTGGCCAGGTCTGGCTCCTTAGAGGGAATGACCATAAAATGCTATATAGAATCAGATGAAATCCAGGAAGATACATAAACTGTGATACTCTAAATGCTTAAGAAGCTACAAAGTCCCAGGATCCCTCTGTTACATCCCATTTAAACAGCCTAGTTGCTGTATAAATAAAGGGAGCATTGGAGTTAATGTAAGAAAACTACTAGAACCAATTTCAAAAACTTGATATACTAGATTAGGCAACTCAGTATAGTCCCAAGTATAGAAGTTCCTTAAAATTTAGCATAAACATTTGCCTTTCATTTTTTGGTGTAAAATAAATATGAAACAAAATTCAGCATTAACTATTAATAGTAAATACCCTGGCAAAGCTGAAACCAATCTTTTTTTCTCTCTTTTTCTTTGCCTGTCCTGACCGTGCTTGGGGAATCTCACAAGTCACGGGATGGCCAGATCAAAGCAATGTTTGTGGATTCCTGAGCTCCCTGACCAAAATGCCAACTTAATATTCTTATAATACCAGCTCAGTTACATCTCAATGACTAACTTAGATTTTGAACCTATTAATAAAAGTTTGCCTAAGGCATTTGTAAAAGTATGGGTTCTTATTCCATCAAAAGAGAAGTAATCCGGTACAGGGAAACAATAAAAACTCTTAGTCTTATTTTGAGAAGAATATAAGTGACTGCGATTTTTAAAGTGCTTTGTTATTTAAAGGCACATAATTATATTCAAACTTCTTATGCTCTGGGCAGATAAATCGTCTGTAAGTGGAAAGACAGTACTTCACATTTGTGAAAGCACAACCAAGTTCCATGTGAGTTCTTCACCACTATATACCCAGTGTCTGAGAGAAAGCAGGTGCTCAAAAAAGATTTACTGAACAAATTCATATACACAAGCATTTATATAGACTACTGATATCCCTTGCTGATCTGAGGAAATTTAATAGCACTATCATTGGAAGTTTAACGCCAGAGGGTTGTTGGGTATGGAGTGAAGATCAATATATTGATTAAAGACTCAATTTTGCCCAGATTTGTCAGTCTTTTTCTATGAAAGTATTTTTAAGACATGAAATGCTGTAATAACATTTTACTATGTCTACGTAAATACGTGTTAAAACAATATAGATTTCAATAACCAAAGTAACAGCACAAAAATTAAACAAATTAACTTTATTACATTACAGCTTCGGTCCTTACATTGACTTGTTTAAAAAAATAGCAGTTTGAAATACATTATTGAAAGTGAGTACACACAATAAATAGAAAATAGGGATGCATAGTGCTGGAGACATACCAACCAACTTATCTTCATCTGTTGCCTACTGTTGTAGACAAAATTTGACACGAAATTAGCATTGTTGAAAGAATAGCCAAAGTACCTGGGAGAAGGCTGCAAACTACTGGAAATCAGTAGCTTAAATCTCTGGACTAACCAAAAATGAAAGCAAAAACAAAATTCACGGCCGGGTGCGGTGGCTCACGCCTGTAATCCTAGCACTCTGGGAGGCCGAGGCGGGTGGATCGTTCTGAGCTCAGGAGGTCGAGACCAGCCTGAGCAAGAGCGAGACCCCGTCTCTACCAAAAAATGGAAAGAAATTAATTGGACAGCTAAAAATATATGTAGAAAAAATTAGCCAGGCATGGTGGCACGTGCCTGTGGTCCCAGCTACTCAGGAGGCTGAGACAGTAGGATTGCTTGAGCCCAGGAGTTTGAGGTTGCTGTGAGCTAGGCTGACGCCACAGCACTCGCCCCAGGCAAGAGAGTGAGACTCTGTCTCAAAAAAAAAAACAAAATTCACTGTTTATCTGGGAGCTAACCTCATGATGGCACTGAATTACCTACTCCTATAAGAACAATTTTAAAATATCTAAAGTGCCAGGGAACCTTCATTAACAGTATTTTTAAATCAAAGTTTTTACTTTAAATATATGATGATTACTCAAAATATCTTAGGCCACACGGCAGGCCCTATAACAATAAGTTACAAATAGTCTGAATTTAATAACTTAAGTGTGATATGGTTAATATAATACATGTGTGAGTATCTCAACTAGCCTCTTTCAGATAAGGTGATAATTAAAAGGTTTAAATCTACAGTTTCAATTTCTGCTCAGAAGAGTGATGTCAGTATTCTAGCAATGGTGATGACATCCCATTACTGTAATGCAGAACATGATAATAAACATATTACTCTGAATTACACTTGATTGAAGACATAATTCTGTGTACAAGTGGGTCCATGCTCTATGTGCAAATTTTCAATGGTACAAGTTTATAGTCAGAGCTGGGTTTTGACAAATGCTTTCTGACCTCTGAAAAGAAATCATGAAAGCATATATTAAAGTGAACAAACTAAAGCTCTAAGTGGATGACACCAGTTCTTTCTTGCCTTTATGTGTGATGAATTTCATGAAGCATTAACTCCCGAGGTATATTTGTTTCTGGACCATAAAGCTTACGTGCTCTTCTTTCAAAGGCAGCCACCATCTGCTTTACAACTTCATCAAAAAACAATGCGGCAAGCTGAGAGTGCAGAAATGAGCGAAATTCAAAAGAAATCTGTAGGAAAATGTTGTAATTTTTAGAAAGATTTTTTTAAACAAATTTCCACTTAAAATAGTGGTGTTCACACTGTCAACTAAGTATTTAAGGTAGAGCTGTGTGGGTGTACCTCGGTGAGGTTTTTAGCACCCCTTTGAAGACAGAATCTTTACTGCAGTAAGCATAACTGCTGGCACAATAAGCTTAAGTCAACAAGGCCAGTGAATCTCATTTCAAGGGAGAGTTTGCCTCTTAATAAGTTAGAGAAGGCTGGAAAAAAACTTTGGTGAGGGCCAGGTTTGGTGGCTCACACCTGTAATCCTAGCACTTTGAGAGGCCAAGTGGGAGGATTGCTTGAGCCTAGGAGTTAGAGGTTGCTGTGAGCTAGGCTGACACCAAGGCACTCTAGCCCGGGCAACAGAGCGAGACTCTGTCTCAAAAAGAAACCAAAAAAAAAAAAAAAGTTCAAGAGAACAATTCATATATTATCTGTTGGCAAAGAAAAGGCCACAAGTGGCTTTACATTTTCTATAGCTAAGGTGATGTGAACAAGAAAGTTACAAGTGATTCTAAAAATGTATTTTTCCCTGTTGTACTTTATTTCTGCATCTTATACACAATGGGTAGTTTAATTTGGTGTTAATTTTAAACTGTTATTAAGTTTAAAACCATTATTAAGCTGGTAGTAAAGTCATGTCTCTTATAATCTAATAGAGAAGGAATGAATATTCAAGGTTGCAAAAAACAGAATAGAAAATAAAATGTTCATTAGCACTTGTACAGAAAATTCAATACTCAAATTTAGAAAGTGTTTAAAAAATCTTTTTAAAAAGATTATTTTATAATCTTAATGCATATAAAATAATTATAGCATCTGGGTTCTAAAAAATAGATTACTACTTCTTTACCAACTTCACCTCATACATGGAACAAATCAAGGGCTTCAGGACAGACTTACTGAAAAATCCAAGGTACAAGTTCTTGGGTAGCCAGGAAGACCTGGGCTAAAACGCCAACTAGTCTCCAAATGGTTGAAAAGTCTCCCATCGGTACAGGATGCCTACAAGAAAATGAAAATATAAAACCACAATTAAATACCTTTGGTATTGGCTAGAATGTACCATGATTGAGGCTAATTTCTTTGAAAAGTAATTACTTTTATAGGTCAGACCACAGGAGATGAAGAAATCTCATTTTTAGTTTGGTACTAGGAGGTAACCTCTTGCCAATATTAGCTGTTTTCTTTTATTTTGGGATTCCCCAAGATTACCAATCGTTTTTCCTTCCACTTCTATCACCCATTGTGCTACTTAGAGTTCTCTCCTTCCAGCAGCAACACAGGGAGTGATTTTTTAGAAGCTTATTTCCAGCTCTGCCACTTATAAGTGATCCTGAACAAATTAAATCCCTATACTGTATTTCCTCAATCTGTAAAATAATACCTACTTTATACCATAATGAGATGGCTGAAAATTTATAAGGTACCTGGCACAGATCTCTGGCACAATTCTATAATTCTTTCCTACTCAAAGATATTTCTCTTGTTAATCACATTTAGTCTTTCCTTCACCTTTTACTCCTTCACTTTTTTCTTTTTGTTTTGAGACAGAGTCTCACTCTTTTGCCCTGGCTAGAGTGCCATGGCATCAGCCTAGCTCACAACAACCTCAAACTCCTGGGCTCAAGCGATCCTCCTGCCTCAGCCTCCCGAGTAGCTGGGACTACA